TGGTTTGGGCTTTGCTTCCGTGAAGATTGACAGCCTTGGAGACCCTGTGGGCAGTTCCACTCTGTTCTCTAGGGACGCTGTGGGTCGGAATCAACTCCACGCAGTGGGTCTGGTTTTATGCTGAATCGGAACCTGCATTCCACAAGATTCCCTGGGTAGAATCTGGAGTGGAAATGCAAATTCTCAGCAGGTGGTTGAACCGGAACGAGCAGGTTCAAAGCCCTGGTTCCAGCTGAGCTTCCAGGAACTATTTCATGCTATTTCCTTGTTTGACCCACACAGAAGAGAGAGGAAATGGGTTTTGTTCCTTCCAGCTGGCTCTTCAGGATCTGCAAGCGACTTGCCCTGCCCCCAGCCTTGTCCTCTGGGGACACACTGTCCGTCTCACCTCCCTTGGTCCTTCTCCCAGGTCTTTACTCATCCGCTCTGCAAGCCGTTTCGTAGTGCATGTCCAAGACGCTTGTCCAGAAGAAAAGAAACTACACTATTTTGCCGTTGTTGGTGGCCACCAAGTCGGGCCCCCATGCAGGGCGACCCTGTGTGTGGAACCACATACCGCCGGTCCTGTGCCCGGACGTGACCACAGTTACGACCCACAGGGTCTTCACGGCTGCTTCCTGGGAGCTGATGGCCAGGCCCTCCTCCCCAGCCCCTCTCGGTCTGGAAGCGGTGCTGGATCCCATCTGGCATCCTAGCAACACCCCGGCCTCCACCGAGAGACGGGGTGGCTGTGCAGGAGGGCACTGGGCGGCCATCGAAGCCGGGTCTCCCACGTGGAAGGGAAGCATTCTCCCACCGACCGGCACTGCTCCCGCAAAGCACGTGCCTTCCTCCCCTGCACGTCAACGCTGCACTGCGTGGTGTCACAGTGGGGTCCCAGCCACAGCCTACTGTGACCCTGCACTCACGTTCACCCCTGTGAACTCACGTTCACCCCTGTGACACAGTGCTCCGCAGGTTTGCCCAACAGTGGGCAGCTAGGTGCCTCCCACGCTTTTGTGTTCTCAAGGGACGGCTGTGCTGTGGGGTTGTTTCCTGGGGCGGCTACAGAAACAGATGGGTCAGCTGAGTGGCTACTGAGCGTGAGCAGCCGGGCAGAGGCCCGGGAGCTGCAGTGGTGAGCGCCCTCTGCTGCTGAAGGAAAGGCTGGCGGTTCGAGCCCCCCCCCCCCACCTGTCTGGGAAGTGAGGCCTGGGGACCTGCTTCTGAGAACCCAGCCTCTGCGAACCCCGTGGGCCGAGTTCTGCTCTGACGTGTGGGGCTCCAGGACCTCGGGTGTAACTCAGCCTCTCTCCGGAGAGGATCCTGGAGCGTAACAGTTATTCTCACCAATCAGATGCTGGCCTAGGGAGTGGCGTCGCCCGACAGGCCCCCTGCCAGCAGCCACCCCAAAGAACCTTGCCCACATGGGCCGCCAACACCCCCACCTGCCTCACCTTCCGACTTGCCAGGGTCTGACTGGTCCCCATCATAGGATGAGCACAGAGGGCTGGCCTTGGCTTTATCCATGCTGACGATGCGGACCAGTTTCCAGCCACCCCCCGAAGACTGCTACAAGGGTGCCGGGTGGGGAGACGGGGTGAGGAGACACAAAGCCACTGACAATGAACCTGGGCCCTGCCCTGTCTGCACCCCTCCCCATCAGCAGGCCACGTGGGACCCGCAGTCCCTCAGGCCACGCCTGAATGTCGGGCTCAGTGCCAGGGGCAGGGGAGAGTAAAGGCAGGCAGAGCCCGGAGCAGGGCCTCGCTGCAGGGGGGCAGGAAGAGTGGGGACCCCCAACGGTCCAGGCCAGGGAAGCATGATCTGCACGTGGCACGGGCACAGGTGAGAGTTGGGGTCTGCGTCTGAGACTGAGAGCCCACCAGATGCCCAGAAGGAAGAGGAACAGGCCAAAGGGGGTGGGCAGAAGGAGGGAGGGTCTGTGCAGAGAGACAGCTGCCTGCAGACCAGTCATGAAGCCAGGGACATGCAGGTCAGCACTGGCTGCCGGTAAGGTGTGCAGACCCGGGTGACAGGTGGGGATGGAACACACTGGGGACATGCGTGGCAGGGCTGGCTGCGGGTGAGGCGTGCAGACCCGGGTGAGAGGATGAACACGCTTGGTCCTGGCCAGTGCCCAGGCCTCGCCTGCCACCCCCGGCGGCCCCTCCCCTTCACATGGCGTGGGCTGGAGCCTGAGGTCAGGAGCGAGGAAGGGCAGGAGGGAAGGGGCAGGGCCCCAGAACGTGAGCTGGTGTCCGGGGTGCCCCGCACCTTGCGGGCCGCTGGGCTCTGCTGGATCACATCCTGGATGGTGGCAATGAGCAGCTCCTGGGCCCTGTGCGGGGAGAGAGGCCTGACCCGCTGCCCGGGGCCGGACAGAAGGTCAGGGGTCAAGGCCACACGGAGCTGCCTCTCCAGAAAGGCCTGGTGATGTACTGCGGAGAAACCAAGCACTGAAAACCGCACGGAGCACAGGTCCACTGGGACACACGCAGGGTGGCTGTGAGCTGGAGGTGACTTGACGGCTCAGGTAGTTTGTCTGTTTGTAGGGAACAAACTTCCCGGTATGCCCTGAGCTGAGGGGTTTCCTGGGATGGGGGATGTCCAATGTCCAAATGGAGACAGTCCCAGGTAAACTGGGACAGTTGGTTACCCTGCCCCCAGCAGACCACTGGCCATATCTGGAGACAGCCTTGGCTGTTGGGACTGGGGAAGAGGGAGCTACTGACATCTGCAGGGCAGAGGCCAAGGATCTGGCTCATGAGCCTAAAATGCCCCGGACAGGCTGACCCAGGCCCAGGGAGCCCTGCCCTGGGCTGTTCTAGAATGTGCTAGAACTGAGGTCCGTTTTCAAGAGAGAAAAGTGCCTAGCACCAAGAGGCACGTGGCATGGTGGGATTCCGCTTCTTAGAACATCACACACACAACCCACCGTGCATAGTTGGGGATGGCGCCATGGTCCGTGTCCTCCATGGTGTAAGGGCTAACGCGGTGGGCGTACCAGCGGCCGTGGCCCTGGAACAGGGTGTCAGTGATGTGCAGGACCTCATTGCAGGGCACCTGCAGGTCCCCCTCTTCCCAGCCCTCCATGGCCAGGTTGACCCGGATGTAGAACGAGTCCCCCGAGGTGGCCCTCTTGGCCTCCAGGTCTTGGACCAGCCTCTTATATATACCCTGAGAAAAGAGGATGTGAGCGTCAGCCCTGATGGGGCTGCAGTCCATGTCCGGGAGCTCCGGAGACACAAGCATCAGACCTCACGGGCTGCAATCCATGTCCGGGAGCCCTGGAGGCGGTTCTAGAGTAAGAACGTGGGAGAAGACGTTCTTCTTGGGCGGTCACCTTCGACTGAAGCCCTGGCTCCCTTGGACATCCCCAAAGCTGTGGCCACAACCTGGCTGAGCCCCCTCCCCCAGCTCTGGAAGCAGTGGCCGGGTGGAGGAGGTAGTGACAGGTGGCTGGGTAAGGAGAGGGCTGGGGAGGCCGTACCCTCTGAGTTGACCTTCACAGACAGGGAGCAGGAGCCATCCACCCGTCCGAGGAGTCCGATGGCCCGCTCCAGGGTCGTGTCTTCCAGCATAGCCTTGAATGGGGGTTCCGTCGCTTCGTAATCAACCTAAGGGCCAATCAGAGGGCACGGAGTCACGGGCTGAAAATGAGGAGGCTGGGGTGTCCTGGAGGTAGGCAGTGTACCCGGCAGGTGGACAGACTGCCGGTTCCAGCCAAATCAAAGGCCACACACACCAGAGCCTCTGTCACAGGCTGTGTCAGGCACCTGGACGCAGGACATCATGCTTGGCTACGCTAAGCGGCTTGTGTGAGCTGCACCTGACAGCCTTGCCTGCCAACCCTTCCCCAAGGCACAGGCTTCTACTGCCCTGTTCGTCTCCTGCATTGTCTTACACACGTAAGCCTCTAACACGGGAGTCCCCGGGTGAGCATGCTCATCTGCTAACTGAAAGGTCAGAGGTCAAGTCCACCCCACACTGCTAGGAAGGCAGGCCTGGTGGTCTAACTTAGAACAAGCCAGCTGCTGAAGACCCCGCGGGGCACAGGTCTACTCTGACGTACACGGGGCGCCATGACTCAGAGTTAAGTCCTCAGCAAGTGATTATCAGTTTATCGTTATAATAAGAAAGAAGGGTAAGTTTTTAATGCTGTTAGAAGCAAATTCTGGAGCTCTGGTGGTACAACGGTTAATGCATTTGGCTCCTGACCAAAAAAAGGTCAGTGGTTGGAATCTACCAGCCGCTCTGCAGAGAAAGATGAGGCAGTCTGCTTCCATGAAGACTGACAGCCTTGGAGACCCTGTGGGGCAGTTCCACTCTGTCCTCTAGGGGCGCTGTGGGTCAGAATGGACTCCACGGCATTGGGTGTGGTTTGGGCTTT